TGATGCAGTAGAGGTGGTCAGTTTAAAATTAAAATCAGACACCACTCTGAGCAGCAGGACCACACTTTCCACAGAACAACTGTGTCAACTCTTGAAACTGTGCCTGCAGTAAACCTACTTCACATATGGGGAGCAATATTATAGGCAGAAACATGGGTGTGCTATGGGGTCTCCAGTTTCTCCTATTGTTGCCAACCTGTACATGGAGGAGGTAGAAAAGAGAGCCTTGACGTCCTTTTCAGGGACACCACCAAGTCATTGGTTCAGGTATGTTGACGACACCTGGGTTAAAATCAAATCTCAGGAAGTCCAACATTTTACTGACCACATCAACTCTGTGGATAAATACATCAAGTTCACACGAGAAGATGTAAAAAAAATGGCAGGTTGGCTTTCTTGGACTGTGAGGTCTCAGTCTCTGATAGAGGACATTTACAAACTGAGGTGTACCGCAAACCCACCCACACAGACCAGTATTTGCAGTTTGACTCCCATCATCCTTTGGAGCACAAGTTAGGAGTCATCAGGACTCTGTATCACAGAGCAGACAGCGTCCCCACTAGCTCAGGAGCCAGGCAGAAGGAGAAATCCCACACAAGACAGGCTCTAGAGCAATGTGGATATCCTAACTGGACCTTCCTGAAAGCAGAGAAGAAACCCAAACAGGACTCCAGTCAGCCAACAGGTGAAAAGGAGGAACCCAGACCCAGACCAGTGGTCATTCCATATGTTGAGGGAGTATCAGAGAAACTGAGACGTTTATTTTCTAAACACAACGTCCCAGTGGCTTTTAAACCCCAAAATACATTACGGCAAAGACTGGTTCATCCCAAAGATCCAGTCCCCCGGCACAAACAGAGTAATGTTGTGTATGTTGTTCAGTGTCAGGAGGGCTGTGATCAGTCTTACATCGGGGAAATTAAACAGCCACTGGCCAAAAGGATGGCCCAGCACAGAAGATCAACATCATCAGGCCAGGACTCTGCGGTCCACACTCATCTCCAGGCCAGCGGTCACTCTTTCAGGGATGAAGATGTTCACATCCTGGACAGAGAGGAACGATGGTTTGAGAGAGGAGTAAAGGAGGCCATCTTTGTGAAAAGAAACCGTCTATCGTTAAACAGGGGTGGAGGCCTCCGGGTTCAACTGTCCCCCTCTTAAAATGCTGTGATTGCTAGTATCACTCAGCCCTCTGTGAACAGTAAACAGCCATCAGTGTGCTAATGATCCATTGTTAGGCTGATGGTCCTTCTTGAGCATGTGATCAGCTGGTTTTGGTTGTCAGCAGCAAAACTGGTTGATCCACTCTGAGAAGGTGCTATTTAAGAGACTGAGCTGAATACAGCTCTTCAGACTGAGGAAGTCTCTCGGATGAGAGACAAAACGTTTCCACATTTTTTTGTTGATTTTCTTTGTTTTGTTTTTTTGAATGTCCAGAGGACCAGATTTAACTTTTTTAGATTGTTACTAATGTTTCTTCCAGGCATAAATCCAGATTGCTCTTCACCAATAATATCATTTAAACCTAATTTCAGTCGTTTGGCAAAGATAATTGCAAATATTTTAGCGTCATTGTTTAGAAGACTAATTGGTCTCCAATTTTCAATACTCAATTGGCCCTGTGATGGACTTGCGACCCGTCCAGGGTGTACCCCGCCCCTCGCACAGTGATTGCTGGACATGGGCACCAGCGACCCCCGTGATCCAAAATGGAATAAGTAGGTAAAGATAATGGATGGATGGATGAATTTCTTTTTTGGGTTTGGGGATGAGTTTAATCAACCCATGCTGGAGAGTTGGGGGTAGTTCACCTCTCAGTACGGACTCTATAAACACGTTTTTTAAAAACTGGGCCAGTTCTTTTGCAAATTGTTTATAGAGTTCACTACTTATGCCGTCACTGCCATGAGATTTATTATCTTTAAGAGAACAAATAGAATCTTGAACTTCTTTTAGATTAATTTCTCTATCACAGGTTGTCTTAAAGTCATCATCAATCTTGTTGGTATCCATTTCATGTCCCCTTAGAAATGTGTCCATTCTTTCCTCATCTTCTAGATTTAACAAATATAAATTTTGATAAAACTTTGAGACGTAGTTAGAAATAACATATTCATTTTCACAAATCACATTGTTAATTTTAAGTTTACCAATAAATGATTGTTCAAAGTTTCTCTTCTCTAGGTTGAAAAAATATTTGGAGTACTTTTCTCCTTGTTCTAACCACTTCCTTCTGGACCTCACGAATGCTCCTCTGGCTTTGTCCTCATGGAGCTCATCAAGTTCTAGCTGCAGTGTTGAAAGTTCCTCTGAGTCCTCTTCAGATAGATCATTTTTCTCTGACATTCTCAAAATTGCATTTATTATTTAGGATTCTTTTTCTTTTGGACTTGTTTTTTTCCTATTCTAATTGCCATATTTTTAATTTCAAATTTAAATAATTCCCAGTTTTTGCCAAAATAATTAGTTAAAGTTGCTTGGATTCAGTACTTATCAATTAGTCTAATTACTTCACTTTTAATTTTTTCATTATTTAATAAGGTGCTATTTAATGTCCAGTAATATTTATTCTGACTCTGTCTGTTAGTATTTGCATCTATTTGATAGTGATAGCTTTGTGATCTGTCAGTGTTGTTGGTTCTATAGAAGTGTCTGTCACTTTGTCTTCTAAGTCTGAGGAAATCAGCCAGAAATCTCTGCGTGACTGTTGAGTCCTGTCTTTGTTGTTCCATGTGTAGGAGGTTTTGTCTGAATGTCTAGATCTCCATATATCAATGATTCCTAATCTGTTACAGATATGATGTAGTTCAGTTAATGTCTGTTTTTTAGGGGGTCATCTGTCCAGACTACAGTGTTAAAGTCTCCTCCCCATAAAATTCTAGTAGTGGGAAATGAATGTAATATTCGTTCAATTTTTTCTTCTAAGGTCAAAAATAACTATTTGTTATATTGCTTATTATTGTATCCCTATGTATTGATAATTAAAAAATGTGATTGATCAGTTTCAGTCAAGAGTTGAATCCATCGGCCTTCAGCATCTGTTTCTTGTTTTAGAATTGTCCCTTTAAATTTACCTTGCAGGATAGCTACACCAGCTGATTTATTACGTCCAAATGAAAACCATATCTGACGACCCACTGACTTCTCCAAAACGTTACATCAGTTTCCAAAGCATGGGTTTCTTGTATAAAATAAAAATCAGCATTTTTGTTAAGGCAGTATAAAAATAAATCTTTCCTTTTAACGTCATTGCTAATACCCCTGGCATTCGCAGAAATAGACATGAACTAACACTAACAATAGCACTAACTAACACTAACAATAGCACTAACA